TCCGCCACATAAATTGGCCTTTACGTTTATAACATCCTTTCTTTCCCCTGCAAACGGTTTTCTGTAATTACGCACGGAAACCGAACAGAACCGCAGATGCTTGGATCCACCTCTGGGTCCGACGGGGACTTCCTGTTATTGCAGGAAGCTGTGGACGATGAGGAGATGTTTGATGTGTTTTGGACTCATAATGAAGTTTTTCTCTGCGTGTGTTTGACTCTTTGACCCTTCAGACTGAGACTCGCGGTGGGATCAGACTCAACTATGTCAGTTTGATAGTGAGTGTTTTAGCAGAGTGACTTTCAGCAGACGGTGAGGGCTTTCTGTCAACACTGAAATCATTTATTTTTTTAACAGCTATTTGTTCTTCTTCGAAAAGTCCCAGCTTCTTCAGCAGAGGTTTTTGTCAATTCATTTCCCACTGGGATATTAAAGGTGCCATCGAATGAAAATCTGTATACGAACGTTTGATAAACATGCAGTTTAACTTACTATTTAGATTTTTTGACCATAACAGAGTTGACGATAACCGAGTTGACAAAACAGAGCTGATGGTAATAGAGTTGATGGTAGCAAAGTTGACGATAGAGTTGACGATAGCAGAGTTGACGATAACAGAGTTGACAGTAAAACAGTTGACGAGACCAAAGTTGACAAAACAGGGCTGACGGTAACAGAGTTGACGATAGAGTTGACGATAGCAGAGTTGACGATAACAGAGTTGACAGTAAAACAGTTGACGAGACCAAAGTTGACAAAACAGGGCTGACGATAACAGAGTTGACGATAGCAGAGTTGACGAAAGCAGAGTTGACGATAACAGAGTTGACAGTATCAGAGTTGACGATAACAGAGTTGACGATAACAGAGTTGACAGTAGCAGAGTTGACGATAGCAGAGTTGACGATAGCAGAGTTGACGATAGCAGAGTTGACGATAACAGAGTTGACAGTATCAGAGTTGACGATAACAGAGTTGACGATAACAGAGTTGACAGTAGCAGAGTTGACGATAGCAGAGTTGACGATAGCAGAGTTGACGATAGCAGAGTTGACGATAACAGAGTTGACAGTATCAGAGTTGACGATAACAGAGTTGACGATAACAGAGTTGACAGTAGCAGAGTTGACGATAGCAGAGTTGACGATAGCAGAGTTGACGATAGCAGAGTTGACGATAACAGAGTTGACGGTAGCAGAGTTGACGGTAGCAAAGTTGACGATAACAGAGTTGACAGTAGCAGAGTTCATGATAGCAGAGTTGACGATAACAGAGTTGACAATAGCAGAGTTGACAGTAGCAGAGTTGACAGTAAAAGAGTTGACAGTAACAGAGTTGACGATAACAGAGTTGACAGTAAAAGAGTTGACGATAACAGAGTTGACAGTAAAAGAGTTGACGGTAACAGAGTTGACGGTAAAAGAGTTGACGATAACAGAGTTGACAGTAGCAAGTTGACGATAACAGAGTTGACAGTAAAAGAGTTGACGGTAACAGAGTTGACAATAACAGAGTTGACGTTAACAGAGTTTACAGTAAAAGAATTGACAATAACAAAGTTGACGATAACAGAGTTGACCATAACAGAGTTGACCATAACAGAGTTGACAGTAAAAGAATTGACGATAACAAAGTTGACAGTAGCAGAGTTGACGATAACAGAGTTGACAGTAAAAGAGTTGACGGTAACAGAGTTGACAATAACAGAGTTGATGTTAACAGAGTTGACAGTAGCAGAGTTGACGATAGCAGAGTTGACAATAGCAGAGTTGACGGTAGCAGTGTTGATGGTAACAGAGTTGACGGTAGCAGAGTAGACGATAACAGAGTTGAGGATAACAGAGTTGACGGTAGCAGAGTTGACGGTAGCAGAGTTGACGATAGCAGAGTTGACGATAACAGAGTTGACGGTAGCAAAGTTGACGATAACAGAGTTGACGATAACAGAGTTGACAGTAAAATAGTTGACGTTAACAGAGTTGACGGTAACAGAGTTGACAGTAACAGAGTTGACAGTAAAAGAATTGACAATAGCAGAGTTGACATTAACAGAGTTGAGGATAACAGAGTTGACAGTAAAAGAATTGACAGTAGCAGAGTTGACAATAACAGAGTTTACAGTAACAGAGTTGACTGTAGCAAAGTTGACTATAGCAGAGTTGACTAGCAGAGTTGACTGTAGCAGAGTTGACTGTAGCAGAGTTGATGATAACAAAGTTGACTGTAACAGAGTCAATAGTAACGCAGTTGATGTAGCGGACAGTAATGGAGTAGACATTTTCCATTATTTTGTGCTTTAGCTCCAGGTGCTAACTTCAAACCAGACTCCACATGGTGTGCCTAAAACACAATTTTATTTATTTCGTCATGTTATTGATTTTCAAGTGTAAATGAATCATTCACTGAAGTATCAGAGTTGATTTAAGTAGTCTACTATTGGTAAATCCTAAACATTTTGCACAAACTGATGAATAATTACAGCACTCCATGCCTTTCAGAGTTTCCTGCCACAGAAAGTGACATCACTTGCAGCAATAGACATGCTCTTTCTCTGAGTGCTTCACAGATTGCTCTGCCCTTTATAACCGCTGTAACAGAGTTGACCAGATCACACAGACACACACAAACTGTGTTTTTTTATCACTGAAATTACAAATAATAGAGAATTTAGATTCGTAATGCAAATG